GCGAGGCAATTCACTTATTTGTGACCTTAACCGGAATACAAAATACGTGGAACGGTGGAACTGTCATAAAAACCGTAGATCTCTTCTGATGGTCTATAATGGTAAAACTCTTATGTCTCTTACACTGGGCAAACTTATTTCACAAATTTCAAATTCTTTCATAAAAAAAAAAATCGAATTGTGATGGCTGGATTAGTAATTGTAAAGTAAATACAATCAATATCAATAATTAATTTTCAACATATTTAACATTATTGTAATGTATTTACGAACACCCGACTAAAAATGTCCTTTCGTACAGGTGTTCCCAACAAAATGTTTGCAATTTCAATTTCAAGAAAATACCGGGCGTCCCAATAGCTTTGAGAGTAAAGTTGGGGATTTCACAATTAAATTTTCTGTAAGACGCTCAAACAAACAGAGCATGCGCACAACCCTCTTTAATTATGCAAACAAATATGCCGTATAACGTGTCAAACATTCAATAAAATTGGGGTTAAATTGTTTGTTCTGCTGACCTGCTGTTGAACTTGGAAATATTGATATTCCATTATTAGTATTGATCTAGATTCTCTCATGATTCAAACTCATAGTTTGTGCCTGACTCTCATACTCTTTATAACACGATGTCCCGTGTAAGGCTCTCATCAATCATGGCCAGCTTACACCTCCGTGTTTCGTTCAAGGCTCGCAGATCATGGCCAGGCTGCACCACGGTGTTTCGTGCAAGGCTCATATCATATCATGACCGGCCTGTGAGTCTACTCTATGATACAGTTGCATGCACGACTCAGATCATGGCTACTGACGGTGTTTCACGCAAGGCTCCCAGATCATGACGCACCCAAACAAAAACGGTCTTTTCGGTTGAGCCGGTATACGTATCAGACAATTGAAACATTAGTTGCGACATTTTTTTCCCTTTTAATGTCTAAGATATTTCCCTACACCAGATATATTTGCTGCTCAACTCTGTGTATGCTTTTAAATCTGATTTTGAAGTGCAGTGGTCGTCGTGTCGCGTCCTGTTCAGTATGGGACTCATAGCGACGTACACAGCGTGTGAAAATTCAAATACGCGTTGCGCGATGACCACCGCTCTTTAATTAAAGGGCGATAGTCGTCACGCCACGTATGCGCGAGATTTATGGGTCTCATAATATAAACAAATATGGTGACTTTGGCTGTTGCGCAGATCAACGAGTACAAATTGAGATGTTACCAAGCTTTATTTAGGTATGTTTTAGGTGGTTGGAAGGTATCGAAGGAGTCACCGGCGGTAATTAGTGCAAGTCACATCCAGGTCAAAGCTCATAGTTGTGATTTCCATTAGAAGAGCGCATTGGATTGTGGGAAAATCAATGTTTATCAACACAAATGTCGCACATGCGTAGCGCGACGACCACCGCCCTTTAAATTGGTGTGTTTCAACGTCTTGTTGTTCATTTCGTGAAGTAAACAGATAAATAAAACTAAATTATTTCTGAGAAGAATAAGTTTAACGTTAATTTCCGAGAAAGCAATTCGACCCTTATCGTATTCAGTTCGGATTTGCTCCTTTACATAACCATAATTTACACCCACGTAACAGAACACATGCGTAAACACAATACACCGGGGTTAGAGGATTTCAGATGTCGGAGTCAAACACTATTGCAAGGGGGTATCAGCGCCGGTACAACTATTACATAACACTTACGCCGCCATTAAAACATAATGTGTCTCACCATTACCATAAGTGTTCGGGCACTAAATTGCAACGTAGACTGGCAACGTAGACTGGCCCAGCCGTGGCAATTTTATAATTTTCTTTCTCAAATCGTGGTCCGACGCGAAATTACCACGTCTGGTCGATTCTACAGCATATTCACTGCTATTACTTATTCATGATATATCGTTATGGAACCCTGGAGTAGAACACTTCCAAACGGGGAAAGTATGCGTGCGCTTGCGTAAAAGATTCTACGCGTCGAGCCACGTGTGCGTTATAGTTGCATATATAATATAGAGGGGTGTAACGTAAACTTGCATGTGTGATATTGTGATTCCGAGTGTACCAATCGACGTCACAAAAATGAAATTCCCTTCTATCGACTATCCGCTGTACTGTCTTCGTGCATACTTTTTCAGTATCCTCGTAATAACCTCATATTACGTGAAAGACATAAATAAATGAAAATGTACAAAAAATACAGAAATACAAGGTGTAATGCAGAAATATGTGGTCAATCGAAACATTGTCTATAAGTGGTGGCTACTATATTTACGCTAGCATGCGGAACTTTTTCTATCAAGAAAATGGTACATGTTCATCGGTAAGATACTCTAAGGAATTTTCACCGCCCGGCAACCATCAAGGCGAAAAAAAGGCCGAAAACTCTCAGAAAACGGTACTTTGGGATAGTTGTTGAGACTCTCCATAAACAGTGTAACAAGATCACCCCTACGTGTGTAACATATATAAATTTGGTTGCTCGGGATTACTTCAACGTTGAATTTGAGCTGTTGTCTGTTTTCACCTGCCCTTTCGATGGTGTTCCACGACAACTCGCACAGAACCCGTAGAACTACATTGGTACGCGCCTAGCAACGTAGAACGTTCTGTGACGTAGCCTCGCCCACGAGAATACCCATCTTCTCTGTTACACGCACATCCCACCATCAATCTTCTCACAATTCTCAGATTAATCTTTTGGGAATGATTTTTTTATAATCACTATATCGTTCGTGACGTAAGACATTTTAACGACCTTTACAGCGTTGATATGTTTTGTTCATCTGTGGGCGTGCGTCGACCAAAAATACTGTTTTAGAAATGTGCTATTATATTGTAAACGGGGGAGGGGGCTACTGTACATAACTGAGCAGAGTTGTCTGTTCATACTTCGCTTACATCCACTACATCACAGAGTTTTTCGTCACGAAATTGCGTCGTCGCGACATACAAAAAAGTGGTACTTAGAAATTCAACTGTAAGTACGTACCATGTTGGACTCAATTATATGCAAAAATGGCGCATATATTGAGCGTTCCCGGTTCCCGTTCCCGGTCTGTGTTATAAAAGCATCTGTATTCAATCCGAGCTTGAATTTCGTTTAGAAATGTGCAAAATAAAAGTAGGTTTTTGAATGCATGTTAGTGTTTATACCCCTACACAACGTTGAAAAGGTATATATCTAGTTGCCTCCATCGTGTTCACATCGTGTTCACTTCTCTTACTGATAGACGTATAACACTTTGCTGAAATACACAAAATACCTTAGAAATAAGTTATCGCCGATATCTCGTTGTAAGCATCACACCTACGAAACGTTTTTGCCACTCAAATACTGTTTCTTTCTCTTCCGTCATCGCGTTCCCCATTCTTCTGAATTATGTAACTATGGTATTTGAAACACGATATTTGATGGCGGGGCGAAATAGAGCAATATTTGTGAAGAAAAAGCAAGTCTCGTGGGTCTATGGCTCTCAACGAGATGTTGGCGGCCATTTTCTACCATTGCTTTATTGAGCCTACTGAACACACAAATTAGAACACACGTCACACTTTCATTACTATGGCAAAACTTTTATTGAGAGTACATAACCAGGCTTACAATGAAGGACAACTCAAAATGTATGACGATAATTCGGATTTCAGTGGGATGGTACGGGAATGATGTTGTACCTATGTTATGATCCAATGCCTTCAATCTCCGACAAACTTGAAAACGACAAGTCGCTGCTACTGTGATTCGGGCACCAATATCTTAACAAGTCACTTCTAGTTCAACATTTAGTTAAACACACACAACAAAAACACATTTATTTGATTGGGCCAAGGTGAATAATTTTTAATATACTGTAAAAATACAATATCTGATGTGCTTTTTAATTGTCACATTTGATTCCCCTTTACTGTACATATCGATTTAAATATATATATATATATATATATATATATATATAACAATATGCAGATTAACTAATTAGTATGCATACCATGATATCTACGAAATCGGGCTTGAACGCTCAATGGTAACGTAACAGTATGGCAATTCGACCGAGTTACCCGTAGAATTAACTGACGCATTGGTTTTGTGCCAACATATCTTGTGTTTATTTGATACGAGTATTTTGGGAGTATGATACCAGTCGTTATCTAATGTTGGCGGAATCATGTCGCTCGTTTGTCCTCCGCGCACGTGAGTTCCAATAAAGGACTAAAACCACACAGATGCTGTAAAAAAACACTGACACTCGACAATGGATATGCATAAACATGCCTCGTTGTATAGTTTGGGGGGGGGGGCGAGGAGTCGGGAGGAGTGGTCGTATATTCTATTCAAAGTAACCGTTTGTTGGAGAAAGCTTGCCATTCACCTTTCTTTGAGTTATTTACTACAAGATCGTACTTGAGGTCGTTGACCTGGGGATTGTTGTGGTGCAGCGTTGATGTGCCATCAATCATGTTCACATCTGATTAGTTTTTAGTGCGAAAGGACACGATATGTCATAATATAATACATCGTGGCGAGGCCATCCATTGAACCGTACGTACTAGTAATTCCATCTGATGACGTAATGTCAATGTTTTTAATTTCCTGTGTGTTATGTTCACAGCTGTATGCGAGGTATATACAATGGTTCGATCACAGTCCCTCGGACTGTGGTTCGATTCAGTACGACACGGCCCTTTAATTGATGAACTGGGAGCACGGTTACCGTGGAACTAGGCACATTCAATATAATCTTAGAAAGTGTCTCGAAGTTTATTGTCAATTATTCTGTCTCGTGAAAACTTAAGTTAGATTGGTGTCAAATTTCAACAAGCTGAGATAGTCATGAAGAATGGCATATGGTGCTCTTTTTTGTCCTCTTCCAAATTATTCACAGTAAATGTCCTTGTTTGGGGATGATTGCCCGGCCCTGACCTGAATTGACCGGAAGAGAAACAACAAAGTGACTAACTTATTTGCATATTTCCACGCAGACGCAGATCGCAAACAATCAACATTCAACATGGCGGACCAGAAAGCACGGCCGCTTAGTTCAGGAATTGGAGGCGGCTCTCAGCCGATACGGGTGGGGTGTTACGAAATCGAGAGAACGATAGGAAAAGGAAATTTCGCGGTAGTGAAACTAGCCACACACGACATCACTAAAACAAAGGTGAGTGAGCAATTTTGTCGAATGAACTGAGCCGTGTACCTTCACCTTGATTCGATCGCTTGTTTTCGAATCAGAAACGCATCTTTTCGGAGGTGTTGTAGCTCATGACAGTCGTCGCTATGACGGTGTCAACAGCCTGTCTGCTCGCTCAAACTCCAAAACCCCATCATTATCAAGCGACGATCTTCTGTGCATTGTATGCGCGTGTTGTTATTGCGCCAACAGCCGATTTCCACGGACAACGAGCTGCACTGTAAGTGAGTTGGATCAGCCCAAGAGGATGGTATACAGATTCGACGTCGATTATAATACTGTATATGGCGATGTGTGATAATAAAACAAGGCGCGAGTATAATCACTTACGTCAATTTTGATGACACAACAACGTGACAACAGTATGCCAGTACACACAATGTCGTTTACACCAAGTGCAACCATATGAACTTATTATTTTCGCGAAATGTATTCTCACACACGCGTGTCAATCAACTGGAGTTGCGTTGTAAATACAAACCGTTTATTTACTCGCATAATAAACTCTTTACACTCAATTCTGACAATGCATATTTATACTATATTTTTTCCACATATATTTTGATGGAATAAATATATTTGTATATAATTTAATTCATGTTTATCATGAAAAAAAAAAATGCATGCAACCTTACTTACCTTACCTTGACTGAATGCAATTACAAACTAAGTAATATACATGGCGGTAGGGCTAGTTAAAATATGGTTAAGTATTTTGCAGCTGTAATCTACTTTTGGATGGTCCTCTCATTTCATTAATACTTTTACTTTAGGGGTTGACCATTAGAAACTCTGTGGTGGGGCAATGGCAGAATTGAAAATAATCTGCACAGAAAAAAAATCACTAACAAAAAAAAATCTGCATGGCTAAATCTTTGAAAAAAAAATTCCACATACTATAGTGTAAAAAAATTCATCATGGAATAAGGAATTATCACAAAACTATGTGAAGAAAGCACAAAATTTGCACAGTTTTTATGCTTTTGCCCCTTCCAGAGTTCTTTCTTAATTGTCCAGCCCTTAGGAAATTGAAAGTGACAGGCAGTGCTTTTTTTCTTCTGCTGCAACCTCTAACACTGAAGTATAAGTTTCTATCACCTCTGTTTGATTCTGTGACATTTAAACTTCGTATCGCCGATCTACTTAGTAAACAGTCAATACAGTATATGCGATATTTGTTTTAGCAAATCATCCAAGTGTTGTCATTTTTTTGTTGCTGGTATCAGTGGTGCAAAGGAGCGTAATCCGACGATGGTAAAGTTCAATTGAGTGGTGTGTAAATTGTCCACACAGCTGATGTTCGGCTTAACTGACACATCATGCTGTAATTATTCATGTGTGCTTCCATCATCATTAACATGTGCAATTGTACTTTAAATTACACCCTTGTCACCCAGGGTACTGTTTAAAGCTAGTGTGAGGTTGTGCACCCATTATTTACGCTGGAAATCACTATTGATGCAGAATCTGCATAAACATATGACGTGTTCCTCTGTAACTGATATCTTCTCAGAATTAAAATAATACATTGCTGATCTTGAAATTGTGTAGCTTAAAAAGAACTCTCATGTCCTGCTATTTAATTTTGTTGTCCACTTGTATTATTAACTGTTATTTGACCTTCTTAAGGCAATTTCTTTTTCCCAAATAAGTGATTTTTTGCATGCAACTACAAAGTGAGTTCTCAAGTTTAATTGTTTACTTATTGTGTTTAATTTTTATCACAATACGAATTCCTTGATTTATATCTTTTTATTTTTTATTTATGAATATTTGTTCACATTTTAATTCCTAAAGTGCTAGTTTGACCTGTTCTTTTAAAACTTGCATCCATCCATGCATGTATATGTCTTTAAGATTATCTTAAAAACGTAATTTTACTAAAATGGAACATTCTTGCGCTTCCTAAGAGGATATATTTCCACTGTAGTTCAATACTATTGATCGGCTCAGCTTCCGTTAATGACAAAAAGGTTACAATGGATCGGAACATTCGATTAGTAAATCTAATGAAATGCACCATTAATTTGGATAATTTGACAGCCTTTCTTTTCCCTCCCGGCTGTAATCCCCCCCCAAACTACTGTATCTCATTGGATTGGACTATTTTTCTTGATTGCATAGTATAAACGAGATCATTAATTACTGCTTGTGACTTGTACATGTATGTCTTCCCTGAAAATTAAAACTTGTTTTTTTTTATTCGAAGTGGTGGTCTAGCAATCTTTTAAAGTAAATCTGGGTTTTCATTGAAATCTGAAATCACCAAAATGATGGACCAAGTGATTGGTTAATTAAATTATCTCAGAATCAGATTGTCAAGCTTAAAGGATACCATGATGTGCTGTGTACAGAAATAGGGAGATGTGGATTTATAATTTATAATGTCTACTACAGCCCTCGGTGATGATACAGTGGTTACAGTGTCTGCCTCTTACTAAAGATATTCAGGGATTGATTCGCGGAGTCTACTGTTTAATGAAAGTCCCTATCTAAAAAAATAATATTTTCTAGTCATTTGTTGATTATTTATCGAGGAAACACAAGTGAGTACCGGTAATAACTTAAAATTCATTATGTCATCAGTGCTATCCTGTTTATAATTGTAAATTGCAAAAATTGCTGTTTTTTTATCTCCATGCAAGCAGTGATATATGAACATGTATGTTTCTTACATGTAGATCCTTCATCAGAGATATTATTTTTATTTTGTTGTTAATTTTTGTTAAAACTGTTTCTATAAAAAAAACTTGTATATGTATATGGCAGTTTGTCAGCTTTTTTTGTTGTTGAGCCATTGGACATTTTTCTAGAACATTTTTAATGAACGCTGCAATAAATGTTGCCATTTCTTGGTAATTGACAAAAAGTAGTAATAAGATGGTAACAATGAATTTGTGATTTACTGCATAGTGTTAAACTGATATGACAATGATGAAAACACCGCATCAGCAAGGTTTTAGGTTTAATTTCTGTAGCCAACTGTTTACTCAGCTGTATAAAGCATGTGGTGTTTGGGCACTAGTGTGCACACATGCACTGAGAATCATCATCTAAGACAAAAAAGTCAGGAAAGACAGCAGTCATTTCAATAATCTGGAAATGTTTCCTGGAACAAAAAATATTAAAAAAAAACAAACAACTGGGCTAAATATTTAATTTATTTTACTTTATGTAAATTATCCATGTTCCATCCACATAAAGTACGGAGTAGTGATGTCCTCCATACATATGAAGTACTGAGTAGTGATGTCATCCATACACATGAAGTACTGAGTAGTGATGTCATCCATACACATGAAGTAGAGTAGTGATGTCATCCATACACATGAAGTACTGA